TGTATGCGTGATAGTAGGGATGGATTGGTTTAGCAGTTTTGGTGCTATGATTGACTACGAGGGTCAGCGAGTGGTAGTTCAAACCCCAAGTGGGGGAGAACTGGTCATCTATGGAGAGGGTACCAGGATTGGACCAGGATTTTGTTTAGCGGCCAGGGCTCCACAGTACCTTCATCATGGTTGTATGGGTTATCTTTCCTATATGGTTGATACTTAGGTTGGGGAGCAGGCATCGGTTTCAGATGTGCCAGTTGTTAGGGAGTTTGCTGAGGTGTTTCTGAAGGGGTTACCTGGTGTGCCCCAGAGAGGCAGGTAGAGTTCAGGATTGACATAGTGTCAGGTGCCGCTCCGATTGCCAAGGCGTCATTCCGTTTGGCAGCGCCTGAGATACAGGAGTTGTTCTCTAAGCTTCAGGAGCTGTTAGGCAAGCAGTTCATCAGACCGAACAGTTCGTCGTGGGGAGTATCGATATTGTTCGTCAAGAAGAAGGATGGTTCAAACCATATGTATATTGATTACCGGGAGTTAAACAAGTTGACGGTTAAGAACCGTTATCTCCTTCGACGGATTGACGACCTCTTTGATCAGTTGCAGGGTGCATCCTAGTTCTCCAAGATCGATCTGAGGTCGGGGTATCATCAGGTGAGGATTAGAGAGGAGGACGTGGAGAAGACAACATTTCAGACTCGTTGTGGTCATTATGAGTTAATGGTGATGCCATTTGGGCTCACCAATGCACCTGCGGTGTTTATGGATTTGATGAATCGGGTGTGCATGTCGATGCTCGATCTATTGGTTATTGTTTTTATTGATGATATATTGGTGTATTCCAAGACCAGAGAACAACATGAGGAGCACCTCCGAGAGATTTTGGGAGTATTGAGGTGGGAATGGCTGTATGCCAAGTTCTCGAAGTGTTAGTTTTGGTTACGAGAGGTGCCGTTCCTGGGGCATCTCGTTAACCAAAATGGGGTTCTGGTCGATCCGGCCAAGATTGAGGCTGTGATGCAGTGGGAGGTCCCAAAGTCCCCCTCAGAGAGTAGGAGTTTCTTGGGTTTACCAGGATATTATCGGAGATTTATCTAGGATTTCTCCAAGATTGTTGTACCCATCACTCATTTAACGAGGAAGGGCGTAGATTTCCGTTGGGGCCCGTAGCAGTAGACGACGTTTGATACATTGCGACAGAGGTTATGTGAGGCACCAGTGTTGACCCTTCCGGAGGGTGTCGAGGATTTCATGGTATTTTTTGATGCATCCATCTCTGGTTTGGGTACGGTTCTTATGCAGAGGGGGCGAGTGATTGCGTATGCTTCTTGGCAGCTGAAGCGGCATGAGGCACGATATCCTACTCATGATCTGGAGTTGGGGGCAGTGGTATTTGCCCTCAAGATTTGGAGACATTATCTTTATGGCGTCCGGTGTACCGTTTACACGGATCACAAGAGTTTGCGATATCTTATGGACCGGCCAAACCTAAATATGAGACAACGCAGGTAGCTTGACGTGGTCAAGGATTATGAGTGCGAGATCCTTTACCATCCGGGTAAAGCGAATGTGGTTGCGGATGCTTTGAGCCGCAAGTCGGTTGGATCTTCAGTAGGGGATATGTGTTTGAGGATATCCATTGATTCTCCACTTTTGGATTTGACCATAGGGGAACAAGCAGAAGGAGCCAAGAAGGGGAACTGGAAACATGATAGGATCAGGGGAGAGATCGACAAATTTGTCACCGCTAGTCGGGGACTATTGACCCAGTGTGGTCGGGTTTGGGTTCCGGTTTCTGGAGGGGTCAGACATATAGTTTTGGAGGATGCACATAAGTATCGCTTTTCAATACACCCGGGAGCCACCAAGATGTATCGAGATTTGAGACTAAGTTACCGGTGGCTGTGTATGAAGAGGGAGATAGCTTGGTACGTCGAGAGGTGCTTAACATGTAGGATGGTCAAGGCCAAGCATCAGAGTCTGCATGGAAAGCTGAAACCTTTGGAAGTTCCCATGTGGTAGTGGGAACAAATCACCATGGATTTTATCACCATGCTACCGAATATTGCCAAGGGTTTTGATGCTATTTGGGTCATCGTGGATCGATTGATCAAGAGTGCCCACTTTTTGGCCATCCGGGAGAGCTCCTCGGCCGAGAAGTTGGCCGATGTGTATGTTCTTGAGATTTTTTCTCGTCACGGGGTTCCGGTTTCCATTATATCAGATCGAGATGTTCGATTCACTTCACGATTCTGGCAGAAGTTCCACGAGGAACTGGGTACAAGGCTACATTTCAACACCGCTTATCATCCGCAGACTGACGACCAGAGTGAATGGACCATCTACACACTTGAGGATATGTTGTGAGCTTGTCTCATAGATTTTGGTGGGATTTGGGATTCCCACCTACCTCTTGAGGAGTTCTACTACGGAAACAATTATCACTCCAGCATTGGTGCGCCACCCTTCGAGCTTATGTGTGGTCGGAGATGTCGTACCCCAATTTGTTTGGGGGGAGATTGGTCACAGAGTCATGATGAGGGCTGAGGTAGTCCTCCAAACTACATAGCTCATCCAACAGATCAGACAGATAGTGCAGACAGCTCAGAGTCGGCAGAAGATCTATGTCGAACGACGTCGATCAGAGTTGGAGTTCCAGGTCGGCAATATGGTGCTACTGAAGGTTTCACCCTAGAAGGGTGTGACACGCTTCGGGAAGAGGGGAAAGTTGGGTCTCCGGTATATTGGGACAATTCGTGTGATTGCCAGGGTAGGCACAGTGGCCTACCAGTTGGATTTGCCGAGTGAGCTTAGTCAGATCCATAACATTTTCCATGTTTCGCAGTTGTGGAAGTGCGTGTTGAACGACGAGGCAGTGGTCTGTTTGGATTATATTCAGGTTGATGAGTGCCTGAATTATATTGAGATGTCGGTAGCGGTGGTGGAGAGAACGACGAAGGTCATATGCAACAAGGAGATATTTGTGGTAAAGATTCAATGACAACATCAGAAAGGCTCCGAGTGGACCTGGGAGCCGGAGGCGGAGATGTGGGAGCATTATCCTGAGTTATTCGCAACATCTGACTTTGAGGACGAAGTCAAGTTCAAGTGGGGGAGAATTGTAACACCCGTTCCGAGAAAGTACATATTTTACCCTAAATTTTATAAAGGTTGGCATTTTTGGTTCGTACGCCGTGCGTACTCAGGGTGTACGCATGGCGTACTCATGCATGAAGGAAGCGGGCCTAGCACGCGTACACTCGACGTACTCCTTAGGTACGCAACGCATATGCTGTTCATACCCAAAACCCTAGTTTGAGGGTTTGCACGCTATATAATCCTCTTTATGGCCCCAAGACCTTCACCCTCATCAGCCTCCACCTAAAAATCGTTCTTCTAGCTAACCCTAAGTGAGAAGAGTGCTTTTTGAGCTCATTTGTGTGTTTTGGTGGTGTTCTTGAAGAAGAAGAAGGTGGTAGAAGGACCTTGGAGCTTGGAAGAAGCTTGGATTTGGGAGTCTCTACTTGCTAGCAACCTCCAGGAGGTAAAAGCTCCTAGCTTGATCATCTTTTCTTATAGATCTAACCATTTCTTCATTAAGGACATTTTTGGTCCCAACTATGGTGATTCTTGAGCATGGATGCTCTTAACCAAATAATTCATTCTTTCATACCTAATAATGGGTCTTGAGTCATAAAAATGAGGTCTTGATGCTTAGTTCTTTCCCATGCATGCTCTATCATCGTCTTTAGGCGTTAAGAAGTTAAGTTTGTTGGTATTAAGCACTTAATGGGCATGCAAAGTCATAAAGTTGGAAAGTTTATGACTCTCAATGGTATTTTGGCCTTAGATATGTAATTGGGACGTGAGAGCTTAATGCATCAAGCTCTTATTGAGGAAAAAGGGTTTCGGTGCATACGTTGTACGTAACCCAACGCACGTCGCGCGTACGTGGTCAACTGCCCGATCCCGGTCCAGGCTTGTGTACGCCCAACATAAGAGCTGAGTACACCCCGTGTACTCAGCTGAGTGAACCGAGTTGACTCGTTGACCCTGACCTTTGACTAGAGTTTTGACCTAAGGGTATTTTGGGTATTTTGAGATGATTAATTGAGATTAGGTCCTTGGTTTTGGTGATCGTTGAGCCGATTTTTCAAAACAGAGAATTATTCCGCTTGCATTCAGACTGAGAGGTGAGTTTTCTTCACTGTACCATGGGTCGAAGGCATCAATGCCAGCCCACTAGATTTTGTATCCTGGTTATAGGATAATGATATGCTAGCATATTGCTGATTGGTAGGACCGTATGATTATCTGTATTTGTTGGTTCTATGTTTATGTTTGTCTGTTATATATGTCGACATATTGTGTTGGGTTGAGGCAGTCCTGCTTTGTGCTGTTAGGCCAAGACACCCAGGGACGACCATATAGGTTGTAGGCCCTGCGAGGAGGTCTAGTTAGGCCGGCGGTCCGGATAGGCTATAGGCTCTGCGAGGCGGTCTAGTCATGTCGAAGGCTCGTAGAGTGGTCCATATAGGCTGTAGGCCCTGTGAAGCGGTCCAGTCAGGATGACTGCTTATATTTGTATGCTTGTTGTTATGTGGTGTGTTGGCACTTTGGGGGAAAGTCACTAAGCTTTGACTTACAGTTTTTAGCTTATTGTTTCAGGTACTTCTGAAGGTCATGTAACATTCGAGATTTGGTATGTTTCTTTTATATTTTGGATCATTATGGTTAACCGATATTAACCATTAGCCATAACCATTAACCGACTAAAATCATTAACCAAAACCAATATTAATCGGTAACCAATGACTATCGAAATGCATTAACCAATTATAATGGTTACGCATCGTTTTGATCAATAACCGAACCAAGCCGTTCTATACACAGTCCTAGAAAAAAGTCTCAATATTTGAGCTTTTCCACAAAAAAAAATCACATTTGGGGTAAAACAATTACATTTTACTAAAGTCAAGGGCCTTGTAGCGTTATCCCCCACATAAAATCCCCTTTTTTTCCTCTCTTCACTTTCACCTTCACTTTTCTACTCGACAGCTCCAGCTTCCATATGGCGACGGCGAAAGATGGAATGTCTCCTTACGAAAGCGGCGCAGCCGAAGAAAGGTTCCGTAAGAGGGCTTTCCGACCAGGTTCAACACTTTTGCTCTCAGTTAGATCAAATTACAATTATATATTTCCCCTGTGAGCTTCGTTAAGCCTATTTGGCTGTATTTAGATGCTATTTATTTTGGCTATGGTAGGGCATCATAATTTCTTGGCTTTGTATTAGGGTTTTCTTTGTTTTCATTGGATGATTGCGGCTTTCTTTTTCAATTGATTAGTTTTTTTTTTCTTTGGCGCATTCATTCCTAGTTTGCTTTTGGTTGATATATGAGTTCTGCAATTTTTATTATATTGTAGTTCCTATTTTTAGAAATGTCTGTTTTTTGTATGTCGAATATTACTCATCGCTGCATTTATTATTTATTATTATTTTTATTATTGCTAGAGGTTTTCTTCAATAAGGTAGAAAGCTAAGTAATCGGTCAATTTAGAGTTACATATAGTTTTAGCTCAGTTGCAAGCAAACTCTCAAAAGAAGTAAATTATCTTAAATATAATCAATAGTTGTCATGTGGTAAAACCTTTACATTAGACTACACTAACCATTTCATCATTGCATGGATCATTGTCTTCATAGCAGGTTATGAATCTAAGCATCCAATTATCTCTCATTGTCATTGATATGCATTTTCAAGTCATTTTTTTTCTTGTAATAGTTGACAACGTCAGTCTTGTAAATGTTTCTGCATGGATGGAACTTAAGATATTGATATTAAATATCCTTTGCATTACTTCACTTGTATTTCTGCGTACATGCCTGTTACAAAATCTCTAATTTGACCAGGGATTTATGAAGAACCCCAAAATGTTTCTCATGAGGCAGGGCAAAATGTAAGTTTCTTACTTCATGCTTCTTTTGCGTGCATTCTGAATTATTTTAATTGTGTGCTTAACATATTAGAATGTTGTATAATGGTACTATCATTACTTAATGCTAATAGCATTTTAATTTTTTGCTTAATTCCATGTTTTTGAACTTCATTTAATTTTTACATATTAATTTTAAATCAAGTTCTCTCTTGAATTTTGCTAAATTCAGTTAAGTGGGAAATAGTTTGTTTTTTTTTTCTTTTGGTTTTATGATATTTCTTCATGACTTGTGTTGCTGTTTGATCGTGCTTTCTATATATTATTTCTAATACCAAGTGGTGTCCTCTTATTAGTTCAACTTGGATGCCCTTTACTAGAAGTCATGAACAAACATTATTTATTATTTTTTGTGAGTTGCGAGTGTTTTTATCAGTGGAACCGCTCATAAAGTTATAAATATTGACAATAAGTTCATCTAGAATATGTGGCTAAGAACTTGTTATGTTGTTGGCAACAACTTATTTACTAAACCTCGTCTGTTAATCTGTTGATATCTTTTAGTCCATACTTGTATCAAAAGTCAATGGAGGGGAATGTTTAAGTGTTGGTTGTAGTACTTTATTTACGAGTTGCTTAATAATGTGTACTCGTCTCAATGCTTCATCCTACCATTTTATTCTCTGTAACCATTCTAACCTCAACACACTTTTGGTTTCCTGAAATGAAGAATTCAATTGGAGCATCAGAATTATGCACTCATCATGTTGGGAATTTTGCTAGCATTTCTTCTGACAGTGAGATATCAGAGCTTGAACAAATGTTGAAACAGATGACCTTTACTAGGTCGGTCTTTCTTTTACTACAGTCCTACACTGCTATTACATCATACTGCATTTGTAAACTTGAGGTGTGTATTCATTTTTCAATAAGCTGCAATACGTTTTCACATGACACACCTGCTATAAACTTGCTTTTGAGCCATTAGAAGTGGTGCGTACATCAATCATCTACTAAACTTGGCAGTGTTTCTATATTGATATTCCTTGCCATTTTAATTTAAAAAGGAGAGCATAAAATTTGTTAAAGTGGACAGAAATGGTATTGCTTTTCATTTTATATGGTGGTTAATTTCATATGTAACGTATGCATTCTTTTTCTTTGGAATTGTTCTGCGACTGCTGACATGTTATATATATATATATATATATATATATATATATATATATATATATATATATATATATATCTTCTACAGGTCTGTAACCCAACACTTGATAGCATTGTTGCATTCAAGAACCATTGAGGAGTCACCAACTCCTCTTTTAAGGCTTGAAGCATCAACAACAACTTGCTCAATGAAAAGGCGTAAACATGGAGATGACAGGGATAACTTCCATGCTTCTGTTGTCGGTTCAAGAGTGAGTAATATCTTCTTGCTCGTCTTTTAAACAAAACAATTACTTAGCATATTTTCAAGTGCAATATATTATTATATATATTGTCTACAGGTTTTTGAAGAAGAGATTGCTCAAAATTCAAAGTTTATTAGTAATAATGGGACAGGCCTTCCAAATCCAATCACATCAACAGCTTCACCACAACAACCGGCAACTATGGAGAACCTTCCGCACGAGCTTTTATCAAATATATATATATATATATATATATATATATATATATATATATATATATATATATATATATATATATAGGGTTAGGTTATTTTGTTTTACTAAGTATTGTGTGCCTATGAAATTGATTCTGAGCCAATCATTTGGGATAATTTAAGTAAGAGTTCTATATTTATTAACTAACTAAAAATAATCAATTTAATCACACAAATTTCATCATAAGGGTATTCTGGACAATTAACTATATTTAAAAAAGGAAATTTTCGGAAATTTAGGAATAATTAGATCTACTAATTTTAAAAATCTGAAAATCTTATTCAATATTAATTCCAACATATTTTTATAATGACCGAATTTATTCTGTCAGAATGACATTTTTTTAGAATGTTATATTCTATGAGAATGTCAGAATACATATTTTTATAGAATACATGTTTTGATTGAATGACAGAATACATATTCTTATAGAATGAATATCAGATCATATCATTCTTCAAACGAAATAACAACATTTTTTGATTGAATGAACTTTCTAAGAATAACAATTTTTTTGATACAAGTTAAATTTTTGTCATCACATTCTTAAAAAATAAAAATCTTAATATACTATTCTATCATAATGAAACACTCATTAATAGCAAAACAAACACAATTGGTAGATTATTCTAACTGAATATTCTACCAGAATATATACTATAATATATAGTCGTATCATTATATTGTAAATTATTATGCCAATGCTTTCTTTTGTGAAGATCATTGACCATTGTTCATCTTCATCCCACATGCCATCATCCAACCTTCCAACACTTGATCATCAGGTTCCTTTCACACATTCTTTGAGAATAACTTCCTTCAAATCGAGTATTCGATGAGAATAACTGTCATGAAATCGAATATGTAAGAGTAACATTTTATACATTCACCATGAGCATTCTAAATTCTGTGCATTCTAAAAGAATAAAACTATAAATTATGGCATAAATCATGATAAAAGATTAATCCAGTTGCAATAAAACCCTAGAAAAATCATTCTTGTGTGATTTTACCATGATCATTCTTATGTGATTATACTAGAACTATAATTCTGGCAGAATCATTACTATGTGATTCTGCAAGAATATAATACTCTTTACACATTATTCAAATAGAAAAATACATTAGATGCAAAATATTCTTAAAGAATGAAACAATTAAAGATGAGAATAACACCCGATGATGATGTAAGATACATATTCTAATATTTCAGTTAGTTGATCACTAAGTAATAACATTATAGTACACAAATAATAACATTAATAGAGATAGTTTGTTGTACTCCTGGTTTGATAATTACATCAAACACATGGTGGGCATTGATGAATTCTAACAGATTTGTACTAGACATTTCGTCAAACACCTTCAGGGCACACACAAATCATCACGCTTTGTAGAATATTACTAATGAAATGAACAACTAAATGCACCAACATCAAATATATTTAAAAATAAGGATGCCTTGAACACCATTACCTAATTCCATTCTAGCAGAATGATTGACATCAAGATGCATTAAAAAAAAACCTAGATTTCAACTATGCATTTTATCGAACACGTGGTGTGCTTCTTCAGTTTCTTCAAAAAAAAATTAGTGAGAGTCTTACCAATTCAGTTTCTTGGTGGTCGGGAACTGGAGATACAACTAAAAAACATGTTATGATTAGTACAAGAGCATAGCAATATTCAGATATTCATATTCGAAGAGGGAAAGTATTAAATACCTGGTAGATTGGGGCGCACAATCGAGCAACTGCATTAGGGCCACAATAGTACTTCTTCAAGATGACTGGCCACTCAACGCAGTCAAACATGAGATCCAAATCCGGGACCTTTCCGTTAGCGTCTAGCAAGCGTATGGAAAGCAAGAGGCTGACGAACATGAAGATGAGGAAGAAGAGTAGTCGAATAGAGGATCTAGAAGTTTCTGTCATGATGGCGGATAATAGGCCGACGGTGGTGCTCAGATGTAAGGATCGATTTCTGGTGGAAAGGAGGAACGGAGGTATCGCTGATTTGAGGAAGCCGTCGTACTCTTTAAGGTTAGGGATGATGGCTTTGTAGGGTTAAACTAATTAAGGAGATAATTAAGGAGAGATTAATTGAATTATTTTTTACCATAATTAGATATAGTAAGTTTACTGTAACGCCCGTGTTTCTAGGCTAGGCACTAATGATGATGTAATAGTCTAGGTTGACCTTTGTAACTCATTGTGAAGTAATAAAGAGGAATTATGTGAATATTATGTGAATTATGTGTTTTATGCTTAATTATGTGATTTAATTGAATTAAGAATAAAAATGAGCGTCGAAAATAAATATTAGATAAATCTGATATCTATGAATGAAGTTGAAGTGGTCGGAACAAGGATTCCGGAGGTATAAAGAATGCCGAAATCCGAGTTATAACGAAGGGGTTATGACCTGTGAAGTTTCGCGACAGAACCAGCACGACGCTGAATGACGTAAAATGTGAATTTACGATAGAGCGATATTTAGCCTTAGTGATCTAAACGAAAGCCGTAGAATACGTTAAACCGAGAGCGTGCATAAAAAGAACGTCCAAATCTGACTTAATATGAGGAAGTTATGATTTTTCTATGTTTCAGCTTAGTAGTATGCAGCCCAAAATTCGAATATGAGATCGAGTGGTTTCTAGCCGAAACAATCTAAACGAGAGTCGAAGATCTCGTCGATAGTAGTCCAACGGTAAAAAGACAGACGAAAACGGACGTCGGATGAAGAAGTTATGATTTTATAACGGAGTTTTCCTGTCCCGGCCTACTAAAAATAATATAATAAAAATAAAGTCAAAATTAGTCGACGGAGTCTAAACGAAAGTTGTAGAGCATAGTTTCACCTACGCGTGGATATAAAGAACGTCAAAAACGGAGCTCGTATGAGGAGGATATGAATTTATGAAGTTTTTAAATAATTAAAATATATAAATAAAAACATTTATTCGGATAATACCCGAATTCGTGACGCGCCGATCTTATCCACCCAGTACGCGCAGCGTACTAGGCGTACGCCCAACGTGCATGTAGACAAGGGAGTACGCCCAGCGTACTCTGAAGTTACGCCCAGCGTAATCGCAGGGATCAACCCCTATAAATAGAACTCGAGGGCTGCCGATTTCTTTTGCTAATTTACCATTCTTCACCCCTTTTTCTTTCTTCTACTTTGCGAGAAATACCCCCGAAGTCCCGGTATCAATCCCGACATCCGAAGCAAGTCCCGAAGCCCCGAAGATCCCGAGAAATATAGTTTTCGAGCCGAAACTCTGCCCGCGTAAAGCCCGGTTTTGGAGAAAACATCCCGGTTTCATCGAAGATTATTGTTTTAAGAGACGAGGTGCTGTCCGATCATCGTCTTATCAAGTGAGTGTGTAGTTACTTTCTTCTAACACATAAATACAAAGTATTCTCTATAAAATACGTGCTATGTGTTTATACGTTATGTCTTATTTGAAATGAGTATTGATTTAATGTTTTATACATGTTTTATGTTGTGTATATATATATATATATATATATATATACATATATATATATATATATATATATATATATATATATATATATATATATATAAAGATGTTGGGTAGAACATGGGTAGATAGTGGATGTGTGATGAAATAAAATGATGAGAGGCCTCGATGTTGTTGTTGATCTAGTCATCTAGCGGAGTATGGATGACGACCACAGACTCTTTCTAGACAGTCTAGTGGAACGCTAGCAGGCTCATAACCTGTAGGTGTTGTGAACGATGTGTTCACCGGTGTACTCTATCCCCCTCATGGTTGCCTTTAGGACATTTATTGTGGAGGAAACCCCTTCGCAATAATGTCCATCTCGATGAAAATCCTAGATTAGGTCCCTGGTAATAGATGTTTTTGTAGGGACGTCAAGTGAGGATAACGGGAATGGGTAATCGGGTTATTGTTGGTTGATGAACGAAATATAATTATTTATTGTGGGTTGAAAACCCTATATGCTCACCAGGCTCCCAAGCCTGACCCATTCAGTTTTTATTTGTATTACAGGTAGTGGCAAGAGAGCATAAGTTGGATGACATTGTCAAGATATTTTTGGATTATAGACCAGTAGTTATGTATAACTGTTGTAAGGTCTATTTTGTATTGTTTATGCTTTTGGTCTGTATCGGAACATGACATCCCGAGATTTTGTTATATAATGAAAATACATTTCTTTATGAAATGCTTTGATAAATTCTTATCATGTTTTGTTTTGGGAACAAATTCCGCAACTCTTTTAATCAAAGGATTACTATGAATATATTTTAAAAAGCATAAATAAAATCGGTCTTTTCTGGCTGTGATTTTGGAGATGTCACAGTTGGTATCAGAGCATTAGTTTAAGCGAAGTAGGAATTTGTAGGATTTCTATACTTAAATTTAGAATGCTAAGTAAAGATTGTGAGATGAGTGTCTGTTTTATTTTAGACACGAGCACTAGTATATATTAGGAAAGCTACCTAATATGCTTTTATGTGCTAAATGTTATATGTTGCCATATATGATATTATTTGTTCGGATCTATGGTCTGTTGCCGACCGGATCTGGAAACCTTATGTGTTTAGGATTCTAAGCGTACGCCGACGGTATTAGAAATAGCATGTAAACGTTTCAGAGTGATAATGATGATTTGATTATCTATTGTGAATAAAGATCTAAATTCACCTTATTCGGTGTATAGATCAAGAATGGCAAGAACAAGAAGCGGAGTTGGAAACACGAACGAAAACAGGAATCAACAGCCTCAACCACTAGTGATTGAGCAAGCACCTGTTGTAGCTGCTGCACCAGAGCCAATGACAATGGCTGGTGTACAATTGATGATTCATATGATGTTGGATCGTCAGATGGAAGAAACTAGACGTCTGCTTCAGCAGAACCGTGAAGAACCTTCGATGCCGATTGTGCAGCCCGAATTAAGTGAAGGGCGGTCGGAAGGAGGAAACTTCAGTGGGACTGTTGGTCAAGCCAACCCACCGATAGTTAGATGAAACAATCATGATGGAGGAAAAGATGGAAGAGGATGTAAATACAAGGATTTTATGGCATCCAAGCCACCGTGTCTATCTGGAAGCCCGACACCGGTGGAAGTTATGGACTGGATCTCAGAAATGGAGACAATGTTTGAAAGTTACGAATGCAACAACAGACAGAAGACCGCACTCGCGATCCCTCTGTTAAAATCAGGAGTGTTGAGTTGGTGGAAGCTATTAGCCGATTCGATGCCCAAGGGAGAAGCTAGCAAGATGTCTTGGGAAGACTTTGTGGTGCAACTAAAAATACAATACTTCTATGAGCAGGACCTTCTGGAAATCAATAATGAGTTTTAGAATTTGAAGAAGGGGAAAATGAGCGTTATTGAATACGCTGCAAGTTTCACAGAAAATATGAAGCTTATTCCATACCTAGTTCCAACTGAACTCTCTAAGGTTAATAAGTTTGCCCTCGGATTACCAGCGGATTTTGGTCCAAATGGTTAAGCAAGCAACCACATTGAAAGCCGCCATCTGGGCTGCTAGAAATGTTGAGACCCAGATTAGGGAGAAGGGTCTGGAGAGGTCAGAGGTCGGTGAGAAGAGGAAGTTCGACGGACCCTCGGGGTCCAGCAAAAAGGGTAAATTCTCGAAGTCTAGTTCGAGAGGAGGTGGAGAAGGCGAAGCGAAATGGTGCGATAAATGCAAGAAGAAGCATCATGGGAAATGTGGCGGGGAAGCCACATGCTTCAAATGTGGAAAGCCAGGGCACTATGTCAACGAATGCACCCTTACCAAGAAAGTTTGATATGGGTAGGGATGAGCATATGGACCGGGGAACCGGCCGGAACCGGTACCGGATCCGGAACCGACACCGGAACCGGAACCCGATGGAACCGGTCGGGCCGGGACCGGGACGTTATTTTTATGGATTTTTGGAACCGGGAACCGGAACCGATATAACCGGAAAAAACCGGTAGAATCGGCAAAAACCGGAACCGTATGATGCTATTTTTCGAGGACCGGTTCCAACATTTGAAGACACGACAAGAACCGGTAGGAACCGGGAACCGGTAGAAC